TAGAAAACCAAGAAAAAAAACCCCCCCCCCCCCCCGGCAACAGTATCTGGCCATGCAGAGTAAAAGGCATTGTAGACCACTAATGTTACATGGGAGAAAAAAATAAAAGTGATAGGATGCTGTAAACATTTTACAAGGCTGAGCTGCCTTTGATCATTTTCTAAGGTGCTTCCTTCTTCCAAAATACATAATTTCCATCTTCCCAAGCATCAGATTGAACAGATCAGTCTTCATTCTAGTCACCCAGCTTTGTTAGGGTTAGATATAAAAAGAAAATACACCAAGGATGAATTTCTATGTATTTTTTTTTACATAAGAATTTAACTTGGGCATGGAAAATGATGGTTGAAAAAATAACAGAACACTAAATATCCTCAGCATATTGATAAGGCTTATTGATCAGCATATTGATTCAAGCATCATCTTAGTATCCTTTGCTGGCCACTTCAAAAAAAAAAGTGCAAATCCAATGGCAAAATGAATCTGGTGACAATATTATGGGAAACCTGAGGAGGAGGAAGACTGTATTCATAAATATATTTGCTCTGCATCTGCAATAAACATTATTAGAGCTGTTACTATGTTTCTCTTATGGAAAGTTATGAACCTTGTATGTTGAAATGGACAAATATTCTTTGAATTATTTCTAATAAATATGCATTGAGATATAAAAAAATATATATTTAACTTGATCTTAGTATCCTTAATGTGCTTTTGTATTTACTTGTTTTATTCTGTTAGTCTGCTGCTTTGTCTTTTGTCCATATTTACTTGAATATAAATTGACCCTGATTATAAGACAATCCCCCACCATAATCACATTCTATATATGGAACATGTATGAATTTGATACAAATTTTTAGGTACAGAATCTAATTTTGGAGGTTTGTTTTGAATTTGTCATTCTCCCACTGCTACAGCAGGGAAAATCAATCTGGGGGTCAAGTAGCCCCTTTGTCCTCTCCCTTCTTTCCCTTGCAGCCGCTTCCCCTCTTTCTTGCTGTCAGACCCTGCTCTTGCTGAGTACATGAAAGTGTTGAGGGCTGGGTTTTGGAGGGAATTAGACCCCTCTATTATTGGACATGAAAAAGGGAGAACAAAAGGGGTGAAGCTAGCCGGTTGATCAGCAATGCCAGTTAGCAATGCTGGCTTGTAGGCCCAACCTGGCTTTCTTAGTATCTAGATAAGACAATGATAAAATTAAAGATAAAATATATAAGAATGTATTAATAACAACAGAAAGGGAGGGAGAACAACAACAATGGGTTCTAGTAAGGTATTGGGATAAACCAAAATAATGAGACAATATGGGGACAGTATGACAAATACTTTAGCAAACAACTATGGAGACATTGGAGAGGATGCTAAATGTACTAACTAGTGGGATGATAATTAATCTTGAAAAGATAGTCACATGGAGCTTCAACAGCATGCCAGCACACCATGGCCTTATGCAGAGCCAGACTCCTCTAAGTATGGTAACCGCACTGCAGTGCAAGCAAACACAGACATGCATGCAAGATTTCACTCACTCACCAGTGCTATGGATCCCCCTATGGTTCATCAGTTCCACAAATGAATGGGCAGAAGCTCTTTTCACCATGGAAAAGCAAGGCACATATCACCCAAGAGATCACCATTCTCCTGAGGCTGATCCTGGAGTAGTTAGTCTACTCTCACAGGAACTAAGTAAGCATACAGATCTGTGGATGTGCCACATATGGACCCAAACCTGCCTGCTCAGACCTACACAAACTCGGTTCTGGAGTGGTGTAGCCAGTCTCACAGAACATCCGAGCACACTTCTATGTGTCTCTTTTAGGTCAGAGATGCGTGGCAACTCAGTCTCATTTAACAGCCAGTCACGGTCATCTTCACTTTGTATCATTCATTGCCACTCAGAGTTCCTCACATGTTTCTCACATTTCCTTCAGGATTCTTGCCACCACTCTTCATTCTTAAATAGGTCACTGGTTCAAAAGTTTACTTCTTCCAGAGAATTCTTAGAATAGCCATCACTGTGCAGGTGCATAACTTAACATTATATCACCAGTGCTGAAGTAATGAAATAGTTGGGTCTACAGAAGTGAGATCACAGTTGAAATAATTGACCTCAAAATAAACATAGCTGTAGTAGTTTAATTTGAATATAGTACCTATGGACTTGGTTCATTCAGAATTGATGCTTTTTACCTTCTTTGAAACTGCTGCAAGTTTTAGTATAGGAACTCCATAAACACACTTTTAAGTAGCACTTTGGAACCGACCGACATATAGAACAAATTATGCATATTAGTTCAAAGCCAAAAGGCTCATGATTTACCATACAGTTCATTGGGTTGGACTGCAGCAGAGTCAACAGCATGTCAAGCCATGGTGGTCCCACAGCTCAGCACTGTTCAGTATGTGTGTATATTCCAGATACTCTCCCCCGACCCCCTCTGCCAAGGATCCATGGGTCCATGTAGTAATTAGCCACCACTCATGACTGGAACTGGGTATTCTTGTCATGAGTCCTGGAATGCTCCTAAAATGTATATGTAGATGAGGCACAGGGAAACCTGGTCCAGTTTTACCTCATGGAGGATGGGGCCACACTAATCATATGTGAGAGGTAGGTGGGGAGGGTGACAGAGGCATTCTGGATGAACTGTTTGGGGCCCCATTTGGTGATGGTTTCCATATATTTAAGGATGGTAAAGAAACAGGACTCTGGAAATGAGAAAGAAAGGTGCAGCTTAGCTGTGGGAGTGAAGAGGAAGTCATAGTTTCATAGTTTCATAGTTTTAGGGTCAGAAGGGACCTAATAGATCTTCTAGCCCAACCCCCCGCCAGGGCGGGAGAACAACAAAAGAACCCTAAACAAAAAACGGGACTCAAATGAGTCCAGCCAGGTAAGTATCCAGCCTCTTCTTAAAGATCCCCAGGGTAGGGGCCAGCACCACCTCCCTTGGAAGTTGGTTCCAGCTCCTAGCCGCCCTGACTGTGAAGTAGTTTTTTCGGATGTCCAATCTGTACCTCCTCTCCATCAACTTGTGCCCATTATTCCTTGTTATGCCAGCAGGGGCTAGGGGAAACAGCGTCTCCCCCAAACCCTTCTGGTTCCCCCTAGTGAGTTTATAGACGGTCACCAGGTCCCCCCTCAGCCTTCTCTTGTGGAGGCTGAATAGGTTCAAGTCCCGCAGTCTCTCACTGTAGGGTCTGCCCTGTTGTCCCCGGATCATGCGGGTGGCCCTCCTCTGGACCCTCTCCATGTTGTCCACATCCCTCCTGAAATGGGGCGCACAGAACTGGACACAATACTCCAGCTGCGGCCTGACCAGCGTCGCATAGAGGGGGAGGATCACCTCCCTGGCTCTACTCGAGATGCACCTGTGGATGCACGACAAGGTCCGGTTAGCCCTGCCAACCATGACCTCGCATTGTCGGCCCATGTTCATCTTGGAGTCAATAATGACACCAAGATCCCTTTCCGCCTCCGTGCTCTCAAGTAGGGAGCTCCCCATCTTATAAGTGTGCTGCTGGTTCCTACTACCCAAGTGCAGCACCCTGCACTTGTCCGTATTGAAACGCATCCTGTTCCTGTCTGCCCACCCCTGTAACCTATCCAGATCCTTCTGCAATCTCTCTCTCCCTGCTAGCGTGCTCACCTCCCCCCAAATTTTGGTGTCATCAGCGAATTTAAACAGGTTGCTCTCCACCCCAACATCAAGATCGCTGATGAAGACATTGAACAGCGCAGGGCCCAGGACCGAGCCCTGAGGGACTCCACTACCCACCTCCCCCCAAGTCGAATATGATCCATCCACCACCACCCTCTGAGTGCGACCCTTCAGCCAATCTGCAATCCATCTGACCGTGTAGGCATCTATGCCACAGTCGCCTAGTTTATTAATTAGGATGGGGTGAGAGACGGTGTCAAAGGCCTTGCTGAAGTCCAGAAAGACTACATCCACCGCGACACCTGCATCCATGGCCTTTGTGACCTGATCATAAAAGGCAATCAGGTTGGTCTGACATGATCTCCCCCTAATAAATCCATGCTGATTGCCCCTGAGCATCATCTCGGATGCCGGCCCATCACAAATGTGCTCCTTGATGATCTTCTCAAAGAGCTTCCCCAGGATTGAGGTAAGACTGACGGGCCTATAATTGCCCGGGTCCTCCCTTTTCCCTTTTTTGAAGATGGGGACCACATTAGCTACCTTCCAATCGTCTGGCACCTGGCCCAAGCACCACGATCGCTCGTAGAGCCGTGCCAGGGGCCCTGCAATAACCCCAGCCAGCTCCCTCAGCACCCTGGGGTGGAGAGCATCCGGACCCGCTGACTTGAACGCGTCCAGCCCCTCCAGAAGCTCTCTAACCCGGTCCTCCCCAACCTGAGGTCTGAAGGCGATCCCCTCGCGTCCGGCTTCTATCACAGCAGGGAAGTCCCGGTCCCTGCACAAGAAAACGGAGGTGAAGAATTGGTTAAAGAGGTCCGCTTTATCCTCTGACGCAACCACCAGATTGCCCCGCATATCCTGCAGGGGCCCCACATTACCCGGCGCCTTCTTCATCCTCCCAATATATTTGAAAAAGGACTTTTTGTTATCCTTAATCCTGGACGCTAATCCGAGCTCTATCTCCGCCTTGGCCTTCCTAACAGCCCGCCTGCAGGCCCGAGCAGAGGAGGTATACTCCTCTTTGGAGATTACACCCCCCTTCCACCGGGCGTACGCCACCCTTTTGGCAAGCAGGCATTCCCGGACACCCTTGGTGAGCCAGGGGGGCTTTTGGACACTCCTGCCCGCCTTGCTTCTTGTCGGGATGGACACCCCTTGGGCCCCGAGTATCGTTTCCTTAAGGAACGACCACTCCTCTTGGATGCTGAGTTCCTCTGCCCTCAAGGACCCCAGTTCCTCTCCCACTAATCTCCTCATCTCACTGAAGTTGGCCCTCCTGAAGTCTAGGGCTACCACCT